GAGCCGCCACCACAACCTGCTGCCACTGAGTGGATGCCGACTCGACTCGTAGTGAGCCCCGAGGTCAGGCAGAACTGCCCCCGTGAGTTTCCAAGACTGACTCTTGACAGGAGTAGAAGGCCTTGTCTTCTCTCCCGCGGAGTGGCTGGTGGTTTCAAATGGCTGGCCTTGAGAGCAGCCCAACGTATGACCAGGACCCCGCCAGGCTGGAGGTGCTCCTCTGTACACTCGGAGACGGTGGAGGTTGGAGATCTGGGAAGTGGCAGCAGAGAAAAAGGCAGCCCTCGTGTGTGTGTGTGTGTGTGTGTGTGTGTGTGTGTGTGGTTGTAGGCCACAGCAACAGAACCCAGTTGTCACAATGGCCTAGTGCTTAACTGCTAACCAAAAGGTTGGCACGCTGCAATCCACACGATGCAGAGAAAAGAGCTGCTGCTACTGTGAAGATTCTCACGTCGGGTTCCTTCTGGACAGTTCTGTGCTGTCACCAGGGGCAGCTGTGAGTTGAGACCCACACGTTGGCACTTACCACCACCAGGCCGTGGTAGTCTTGGCTTTTGCACCACTGGAGGGCTAGGGACAGCAGCGACAGGATATGGCTGGAGGCAGATGGGGGAAGCGTAGACGTAGCTATGAGATAACGCAGGTGTGAGTCGATGCGTGTATTTGTTGCTGGCCGTGCACGTCCTTCAGTGCTTACGGCAGCAGTCTGAGGGCGGAGCAGTGGTCCCGGTGCGGCACTGGTGATCAGGGCACACACCAGCCGGTCGTCTCCAGACCTGGTCCCGATGAGTCTACCTTTTTTGAGTACTGATTTTGACGCCACCTTTACCCTTTCAGTCAGCTTCTTACTTTGGGGGAACCAAATGCCCTATCAAGGATGAACTTTGCCATATTAAAACAAAACACTAGATTTCACTAGGGAAGTCTAACTTTTAGGAGCCAGCTTAGAAGTTTTGGCATGTTAAAAAAAATGAGTGCAGTTGGGGAAATTCCTCACTTTCACATATAAGAGCAGCTCTTCCTTTACTGTCTTTGCCTACGGGCGTCAGCTTAAAGACATCAGGAAGAGTTATGATGCTAATCCTCTGGAAGGCTTCTAACAGTCCAGCCAGAGCCTGCAGTTGTACCGCAGTAGCAATGGCTTTTCATTTGCGGATTCAGGTCTGGCGCTGGTCAGGTGGAAGGTTCCTTACACCGCTGTCCAGCAGTCCCCGGACGCGGCTGTCACGGTGCTTTAAATCAGAGGCGACACTTCCCTGTCTTCCACTGTGTGCTGGCGTGTCTGCCCCACTCGCGCCTGAGGGGGTGGTCTTAAGTGTACCTTCTTCCAAGGCAGGCAGGCAGAGAGCAGAAAGGACATGGGGATGTGCCCGGCTGTGATTTGGACTTCAGGGGAAACCGATAGAGCATCGATTCTAGGTGGCCAGATACTGCTTTCTCCTCTCTCCAGCGGAGCTTGGCAGCGGTGGGGTGGCGGTATGTGACCAAACAATGGCGCCTCCTCTACCAGCGTGCTTTCTAAAGCAGCTCTAGCCACACGGGAGTGCTCTGTCAGTCTTCCTGTCACAAGTGCAGTCTGCAAACAAAAACAAGAGTCTGAAGAAGTCACTAGCCGGGAGAGCTAAGCCTGGGTTGAAGTTACATGTACTGCCCAGCTGCAGAGCGAGGCCTTTCCTGAGAAGGGAGAGAGGCACGAGGAGGGCGAGAGCTTCCAAAGGTTCACGGGCAATGCCATTATCTTTTAAAGTCCAGTTTGAGCCCCTTGCGGAAGGGCTTGATTACATAAAAGATACACAGACAGACAAAGAGCTTTGCACGGGTCTATTTATGCACTTCACCTACACTGGCGCAAACCCGGCTCGTGGAGGCAGGTTTCTGCTTCCCGGTCTTCGAGCAGCAACAGCGACCACTAGCTCGAAGCCCGCGATGTCAGCATGGAGGCCCAGAGCATCACCACGCAGGGGTGGTTCATCCCTGCCACTTCCTCCCCAGACCAGCTCGTGTAGCTCACCCCGCGGCGTGAGTGCCCGGAACTTCACCCAGACCATCGTCACACACACCCACATCACCCCGAGCTTCACACTTCCGCCCTTATTCCATCCCTCTGTCTGTCTCAAGCCTTCCCAACAGCAAAACCCCTTCCCCATCCTTGCTGGCCGCTGTCCACTCCAAGCCTGCTCTCTGCCCGAGATAGAAAAGCTGCAGACGCTGTTTCAAATCTTCCCATTTCTTTCTAACTACCACATGCCTGACCAAGGGACCCACTTCCAGCAGCACCACGAGGCCACACAGAGAGCAAGGGCCTGGCGGATGGAAGTGAAAACAGGAAGCTACGAAGTACATAAATAGTGGGCTACTGGACGCTGAAACATTTTGGCCTTGTACAAACCATTTATCTCCTTTCTAACCTAGACCACTTTCTGGGAAGGCAGGAACACCTAAAGGCAAGGTCAGCTAGTCTGCCTGGTCTCAACCCTATCCCAGTACCTCCGAGTCTGGGCGATGGGTGGCTAACAACCTAGGCGTCAATGTGAAAGGTGGTGGCTCCCTGGGCTGAGGGCCGCTCACTCCCATCGTGTGTATTTAGATGCAAAAACACCTTCTCTGCACAATCACGCATTATTTTAGTGTACAAACCAGAGATGAAATGTTGGCAACACCAATTTAACTACGATTTTATTATTTACAAAACACACGGTGATCCCATGGGCACAGAGCACAGAGCACGAGACAGACGAGGGGTGGAGATGGAGACAGATGTGTTCAAGGACGGGGTGGAGCTGGGAAAACAGGGACAGTTGTGGTTAAAGTTACGTCAGACCCAGGGCAGGTACACTGTGTAAAAAAACACCCCCCCTACCAAGAGTTGAGAGGTGTGGGCAGTGCATCTAACCGGTGTCCTAAAGGAATGGACAATATACACAGCTCTGGGGTCCCACAGCATGTCCACTTGCTTAGGCAGACCCCTGAGGAAGTCCAGGGCTGATCGACTTCCCCAACTTCCACAAGGCTTTGTTCAGCTGGCTCTCGAAAGTGCTATCGAACACCCCATTCATGTCGGCCGCAAGCTCCCTTAGAACAGACATGGTGGGCTCATCACCAGCATTCAGAATCCGCACAAAGAATTTATTCCACAGTTCACCGTCTTTTAGCCTAAGAACATAAAACCATCTCCATCAAGATTAGGCACATCAACGTTTAGAATTCTGCGTGTACTACCTTTATGCCCCACGATGATTTCTACTCACGCCCAGACCTCTACGGGTAGGTATTATGCACAGAGTCCTTTGGAAGCCCCTGGAGGGGCTACAAGCAAGAGGCGAGTGGGAAAAGAGCCGCTGCAGGCATGTGAAGGGAGCCAACTCTCTTGCCGGCATCTACGGGACTGTGTCTCCTCCCCTCCGATTTCCCAGTACTTACTTAGGCCATTAGAGAGAACACAACCCTGGCCCACTAGTTTATTAGCTTCATGGTCCTGAGAATCCTAGGCTTGACTAAAGTTAACTACCACTTACATCTATGATAGTCGTACCTTATTTTTATCAAAGAAATGTCTGTTACAGAGGCAGAGCAGTTAGGAAACCCCATGTGACCCCACTAGAGACCCTTGAATCAACCATGTATGTCTTCCATCAGTGTTCAGGTGTACTTTTAAAGTATTTGAAAGACAAATTGTTGGGAGAGCACACAAAAGAGGAGGGAGGGGGTATTAAATCTTCAACACAGACGTGTTTATAAAATCCAAAGACTTTACAAATAAGTGAGGCATTGGCAACTTCTGTCGGGAGGTTACATTAACTATGACATGCTAAAGTGGAGCACAGAGCTATTTAATAAATCTGTGAGTAGGCTTGAGGGAGCACTAAGGGTCTGAGATCAAACAGCTCTTAGTAAGAGATCATTTACTCTTTCACCAAAGAGCTCCGATTCTCTGATGCTTTGGGTCTAAAACTAAAACTAAAAAACGGTAAACTCAGAATAACTCTATAGGACATGCTGGACTGCCCCTGTAGGTTTAGGTTGTAAATCTTTACAGGAGTAGAAAGGCTCATCTTTCTCCCATTTGGGTCTATGTATTTACTAAATATGTAGTCTAAAGTTAGTATATAATTTAAATTTTTAACTTCCTTCAAGAGGTGCTTATTAAGTTTTGATAACAATAACTACTACTACTACTAATGCCCCTGGGTAAAAAAAATTCTCACAAAGTGTTTCTATATAATACTTTGAAATGGAGAGACTTCTCTGGTATACGCTAATTGCAGCCTCTGTGAAACACCTGTGTGCAGAATGATGTCTGAAGTCCGAGTCCTATCTCTAACTAGCACTTCCGCCCTTTACTCTGATGAGGGTCCACTGGCACTGGGTCAAGAAAATCAAGACTACCAAAGCAGAGGAAGCACCGCGCAAGAGCTTTGTTTGGAAAGGCAACGCCCTGAAGTCACCAATACTTACTCAGAAATATTTTGGCTAAGTTTCCAGAGGGACCCATCCCAGAAGACCTGTAGGTGTTCCTTGAACAATAGTAAGTGTGCTAAATCTGCTATACCAAACAGGTCTACCTGAAATCACAAAAAGCACCATCAACTCAAGGAATCCTCTGCTATTCTCCTGGCAGCCCATCTATGCAGGCAGTCGAAAGGCACAGTGCGTAAATTAACGAAGTTTATTTTATGACATACATTTTATAGATGGTTCCTTCCCTGATAGTAGAGGGAGAAGTTCCTGCAAAGAGGTGATGAAGAGATAACTCGAGGGATTATCTTGTGTGTGTGTGTGTGTGTGTGTGTGTGTGTGTGTGTGTGGTTATCTTGAAGAACAAAAGATGACAAAACATCTGGAGTACCAAATTCAAATGTATAGAGCTATTGAATTTGCAATGGGCCCCAGCTGTGCTCTGAACATGGTCCACATGACTAATTTGGGTTCATGCAACATCATCCAACAGCAAATGTCCTTTATGTCCAGAGCTGAGTCAGAGAGAGTCTTTGCATAAAATCCACTGTACCACACACTTGACACATTATTTCATGGAAGGCTCACAACATTCCGATGCACACACGGTAGAGAACCTGTCCTTATTTGATAGAGAACATGACAGAAAATGACTATAAAAGATCACATGGATGGTAAATGGTAGAAACGGTTTCTTAGTCGCCTATTTGCACATGTATGCGCATATTCTTTGGGGCTGTGACATGAAAATGGTAAATTTTGCTTGGCTTGGTGAAATGTGAAAACTAGGTCACCCATTCAAGGCGGCAAGACAGTCCCAGGAAACACTAGCGGTCACAGCTTGTGGACACGAGGCAGACCTTAAACCCTCTCCATATTTGCCCAAGCTTTTGACACTTACCTGGTAGGGAGAAGAACAGTTAGCCAGGATCTTTTGTCCTTCCAGGATTTGTACAGTCCGAAAGCCACTGAGGGGGTAAACGTCCAGCTGAACCCGAAGGTCCACACTGTAGGAGAAGTCCAGTATCTTCAGAGCTTGGTTCTTCTTCTTAAAATCATAGGGATCGTGGATTCTGAGCCCAGATGTCAGAGAAAGAGGTAATAAAAATAGGCCATGAAAAGAAGCTGCATAGCTGGTCTTTCAAAGAGAGAAAGAAAGGGAACTGCAGGTGTGTCTTAGCTATGCCAACAGCTCCCTCCAGTGGCCAGTGATGGAAATGCACCTGTAGCAGCTGAGGCTGTGCGTACTACCCAAGCAGTAAGGCCAAATGACAGATACCATAGTGCACACCTACTGCAGAGCACTGATCAAATCCCAGACTCTACAGAGCAAGAACTGGGAGTAGAGTGAAGTTCTCTGCCCTGGACCACAGATGTCCATCCATCCAGCAGGAATTTATGCACCAATGAGAATTATGATGGAGAAAGGACACTCCTACGTGTCACAGACTTTACTTTTTTAAGATTAGATTTACCAAGCATCATTTAAAGCCTTTCTAAAGTTTAACTGAGAATATTACAAGGCTGTCATTTGGTAGGGAGAAAGACTGGACTTCCTACGTCCACACGCAGTAACAGTCTTGGGCACCCACAGGGCCGCTCTGAGTCAGCACTGACTCAATGGCCTTGAGCTTGGTTCTGGTTTGGGCTTTCTACTGTAAAAGGTCGGGTTTCTGTGACGCCAATAGGAGGCCTAGCTGAGTAGTGGGTCCCCTGTGGGGATCAGAGGGACAACCTGGGAACCCCAAAGGGGCAGTTCTACTCTGCCCTACATGCTCGCCAGGAGCCGGGACAAGCGCAATGACGGAGGGTGTGTTATGATGCTAACCCCAAAGTCCATCTTATTCTTAAATTATTTGTAATCTTAACGTCTATATCTTTAAAAAAAAACTTTGTAACACTGATTTATTACCAATTAATTGCATTTTTCTTGGGTTTACCTATTCCATGCAATAAAGCTACCATTCTTAATTAAGAGGTATTTATCTGACAGAAAAGAATGGTTTTCATGCATCCTTTTTCCTCTGCTTTTATAAATCTTATCTCTCAAATCACTAATTTACATTCATGCTGGAGCCTTTACCCCAAAACAGATTTTGAAATTCTAGTCATAAATCTCACAATACAGAATGATGTGTTTTACTTTAAAATTGACAATTGCTCCCATTTTCCTTGTCACAAGATTCAACTTTTTTTGGCCATCAGAAAACTATAATTCTCACATATTTTTAAAACTTAGGAAAAGTAGGAAAAATGTTTTTTAGGTTAATAATACCTTGGAAAGTCTCTTAGCCATCTAATTAGCCATTAATTCACTAGAGGTAAGATATTCCACTTAATCAACAACTCAAAATCAACAACACGAATGAAATGTAGAAAAGAAGTGGTTCTAATTTCTCGTGCATCAATGTGAACTCTCCGGTCTGTGTGGGAAGTGCTGGCAGGGTGCAGGGCACTGCGGTTTTCCAGCATTCCGGCAGTGGAAGCAAAGGCCAGCACCCAGTCCCAAAGGGGATCTTGACTTCCTCGGGGGATACGTTGAGAACTCCCTTCAGATCGCCAGTGTGGTAGAATAACGGTGAAGAGAATGACCACTACCCCAGAGGTTCTCCCGTTTCAAACACCTGGGAGAAGGCGGTCCCCATGGCCGGGGAGCGTCCCGGGCAGTTAAAGGATGTGGTGCGGGTGGGAATACGAATCTAAAATGCATGCAGTGGACCTAGACAAAGAAAGAAACTTTGCCTGGGAAAGGAGAGACGGCTGGGGAAACCTTAAGGGTCCTGCTACCCAAAGAAAATGGGTAAGAATTCCCATTTTGGTACAGATGCAGAAATACATTCATGGGGTTCTTTTACATTCTTTATCAACTGTAAGTCGGAGTCTAATTCAGTTTCCTCTTCAGATTAAAGATAAAGTTATTCTACTTACACTATGTTGAATGTCAGTGAATTCAGGGGACATTCTAAGGGTTTCCTTAAGACACGAAGCTTAAGTCTCACGAGACCCGCTCACAAGAAAGGTGTGCTGCTCCTCTAGCCCTTTGCACAGAAGCTAACACATGGGTCGCTTTTGCCTTGAGTAGTCCTCAACATTGTCACCCTTCACCTTTCCTGTCCTGTGGGCTCTTGACCTGGACGTCAGCCTGGGCTTCCTCGCATGTGAAACCCTTCTCTGGCGGCAGTTTGTCTCGCCCCACTCTGGTTTCACCCCCTTCTGCCAGCGATCACCTCACCAAGCACAAGAAACTGAACAGGCTTGAGTTCGGCTGGCCTCCTGGCTCCATGTGCACTGGCCCAACTCACAGGGCTGGACAGGCTACACCATACTCGTCAAAGAAATGTCACTCTCTCCTGGATTAAGACTCTTCCTAACACTTAAACTCACTTCCGTTGGGTGGATGCGGACTCATGGCGACGCTACAAAACAGGGCAGCACTGGCCCTGTGGGTTTCTGAGACTGGACTTCTTCACCGGAGTAGAAAGCCCCGTTTTTCTCTGGGAGCGGCTGGTGGTTCAGAACTGCGGACCTTGCACATCACAGCCCCATGCGATGCAGAGCGACTTGGCCACCAGGCTCCTCATCCCAGTGCTTAAGAGCGGCTCATTCTTCCATCTGAATCAATGTTTTTCTCAATGTATTTTTTTCCTTTGAATTATTTTAAACTAGCCCCAATCACTATTGACTGTTAGGTAGCAAATCCTGTCTTAAGATACTATTTACTAAGAAACGTAGTAAAAGAAAGCTATCCATTGTCCGCAGAGCTGCCAGAAAACTCAGAGCTGAAATGAACCAACCTGTTTCTGAGAATCAGGCTCCTTGGACTCAAGTCACCATGGACTATTTCCGCTTTGTGCAGTTTCTCCACGGTCGCCAAGAGGTCATAAATAATCAACACTGTCACTTCATGGGTCATAAATTCACTCTGCTGGAGAAGATCCTGGAAAGAGAACGACAGGAGGAGGCTCGCTATTCCTCAGACTGAGTGGAAGACAAGCCAAAACCTGTTCATATAAACATCTAGTATGCATGCTCCGCACGAAACTCCGCAGGAAACACAGGCTCCTGCACTACTCTGCCCTGCACAACCCGTCCTCACGGCCACTCTGTGCTCCTCTTCACGACCCCTCCCTCCCTAAGGCTGGGTCCCCGGACCCCCTGAGAGAGGGCCTGAAGTGTACCAAGGCTGGGCCTGGCCCATGACACATGCTCTGCAAATTCACTTCCATCAATTCTCACTCCACATCACTACCAAAGTTTACAGTAAAAGCTTTTAAAGACCACACCAAAGAATAAAATTATATTTAGATTAAAAATAATCATCATCATCCAGTGGGAGGAGCCCAGACAAAACAAGAGTGGTCGTGAGCTGATGGCTTTCACGGTCAGGTGACTAGTTCATGACAACACAGCACAACACTCTATTTCTGGAATGTTTAAGAATGGACAAGATGCCAAAGGACAAATCCCAAACGGTGCATGGTCAAAATAACTTGAGGGAAGAAAATGACAGGGGCTTTTCAAGTACAACCTAATTGCTAGGAGATCTATAGAAATTCTCTAATAAATTCCTTTGCTAAACGGAGCACACATCTTTCTACCGGGGATTTAAAGTATAAGCTTTCAGCACAAACCTGAATGGTGAAGCAGTTTATATATTGGTGCCAAACAATACAGCCATTCTGATACTGATAGCAGCTGCATACATGATCACACTCCTCCTGTAAACGTTCCTTTAACTTGAGGCTGATGTAAAAGTCCCAAGGAACAGGTTGAGAAGTTACCTGTAAGATGTTACATTTTAAAAATAAGAGTAATGAGAATCTATGCTTATGTTTAAAAGACCAAAAACACATTTCCTCCAGGCCTTCTGGGAAAACCCCAAACTCTGAGCTGCCTGTGACCCACAGCGACCCTGTTGGACAAAGTGAACTGTCCCTCTGGGGTTCTAAGGCTTTCAACCTTTATGGAAGCAGACAGCCTCATCTCTCTTCCAGGGTGGCTGGTGGGCTCAAACCATTGATACTGCGGTCAGAGGCTCAGTGCCTAGCTCTCTGTACCACCACCAGAGCCTTCTGATCATCCACCAGAAATTAAAATAAAGGGTTGGTTTTTAAAGGAACACACCCATAATGAAGGGGATATATTAACAAAAGACTAGACGCCGGGAACAGAATAACAAGAGATGATATCCACTTAGAAGGCCCAAGGGAAGCTGATTCTAGCAATGGAGAAAGCTAAGGAGCAACCAAATTTTAATTACAAGATCATTTCCCTAAAGTAAATAATTGGCCGCACCAATTACTGCTGGAAGGAAGGGCGAGGGTGGAGCTAAAACAAGAGCAGCTGAGCACCGTGTGCGAGGAAGTCAGATCCCAGATTCCCTCTCTCGTTCTGGGCAGCCCAGCAAGCAACCGCCTCTCCCCCATTCCTGAAGGCCAGACATTTATTTCCTAGAGAATAAAACAGGGGCTCTGGACTCGACAATGCCAGGTACCAATGAAGTACAATATTTTAAGGAAAACAACAGAAAAGTTATATATCCAAGGATCATAGGCAGGCCTGCCCCCACACCTCTTCCCAGACTAACTCCCCTCTTCCTTCAGCTTTTGGAAAGCTGGCAGCCAGGCTTATATGCTCCAGCAGGAGACTGAAAGTCTTCTGAGTAGCAAGTACTGGAGGTAGTGAGGGTGGAACGCTCAGTGTCCAAGTGCTATCACCCTACAGTACAGTGTGGTTCCCTCCTGTCAGGGCCTGTGCATACAGAGAATTTCAGATATGCCTTCTAGTATCCCACGTTTAAAAATGAGTACACGGAGAAGACAATTACATTCCTGTTGGTAGGCAAATGGGAGGGGCAATCTCTCATTTGGAAAAAAGGCTTAACAATATTTATATAGAGACACATGGGGATAATATGCCTGGTATGATGTTCCTAATTGGACACTTATTACCTAGTTCCTATCCAACCCTTGGTGACCCAAGCTGTGTGCTATAGACTACAGGGACTTTAGATTATCCTTTTAAGATGCACAACCTGCTTCACAGGCCACTCCAGGGCTCGATAGGGAAGCCCCGTTAAGTGAACTGGACTCTACCTCAGTCTCACTTATAGTCCTTGACTTACGGCTGAACCTCGCTCGTGTGAGAATCAGCAGACCACCGCCACAGGAGGTTACAGAGTGGCCGTCGGTGATGGACTTTGGTTTGGAGCTCTTGCGTTGAGGGTGCCAGGCCCACCACATACTTGCAATTTTAATCTCCTCCTTGCTTCATTATGTCACGTACTAATCTGGTAGGCATGGGTTTGCTGATGCGAATACACAGTATTGTTTTGTGGGACATCCCCTTACAGAAGGGTCGCCGGGAGGAGACGAGCCAGTCAGGGTGCAGGGTAGCAATGAAACATACAACCTTCCTCTAGTTCCTAAATGCTTCCTGCACACCCACTATCATGATCCTAATTCTACCTTACAAGGCTGGCTAGACCAGAGGATGTACACTGGTACAGATAGGAACTGGAAACACAGGGAATCCAGGACAGGTGGTACCTTCAGGACCAGTGGTGAGAGCGGCAATACTGGAGGGTGGATGGAAGTTGGAGTAGAAAGGGGGAACTGATTATAAGGCTCTACATATAACCTCCTCCCTGGGGGACGGACAACAGAAAAGTGAAGGGAGGGAGACGTCAGACAGTGTAAGATGTGACAAAATAATAATAATTTATAAATTATCAAGGGCTCATGAGGGAGGGGTGAGTGCGGAGAGAAGGGGCAAAAATGAGAAGCTGATATCAAGGGCTTAAGTGGAGAGCAAATGTTTTAAGAGTGATTTTAACAAAAAGTTTTGCCCTATCATCACCCCCATAGTTTGTGTAAATAATGTCCATTCATTGAAGAGTTTAATCTGTAAAGTCAACAATCCATGTATTGCAGTTACCACCAGCCTATATTTGTATAATTTCCTTTTCTCAACAGTATTTTAAACTCTCTAACATTAGCTAAATTAGTAACACTATCGATAAAATTACCTAAAGCCCCAGGGGGTGATTTATAATGCTCTCTATCATGAAATGGTGAATGATGTCCCTAAAGTGACCCTGAGACATACATAAACCATAGATACATGAGTGAACTTGGGGCTCATCCTTCATTCTAGCCCAATCTAAGAGCAATTCATTCTTTTTTTAATCATTTCATTGGGAGCTCATACAACTCTTATCACATCCATCCATCCATTGTGTCAAACACATTTGTACATTCATTGCCCTCATCATTCTCAAATCATTGGCTCTCCACTTAAGCCCTTAGTATCAGCTCCTTTATCCCCCCTCCCTCATGAACCCTTGATCATTTATAAACCATTATTATTTTGTCGTGTCTTACGCTGTCCGACATCTCCCTCTCTTCACCCACATTTCTGTTGTCCTTCTCCCAGGAAGGAGGTTGTATATAGAACCACCTTTCCTCCACCCTCCAGTATCACCACTCTCACCACTGGTCCTGAAGGCATCACCTGTCCTGGATTCCCTGTTTCCGGTTCATATCTGTACCAGTGAACATCTTCTGGTATCCCAATTTTCTGGTCTGGCAGCAGGCACTCCGGGCGGGCGAGTCTTAACTAGATGCCATCGTCCCAGGGTCTGAGCAATTAGTTCTTATAGCATGCTCGCCCTCATGAAGAGATCACTGAATATATGATCAAACTAGACGGTGCCCGGCTAGCAGAAAGAAGTGTCTGCGGTCTTAAAGGCTTGTCTTCAAACAAGCAGCCATATATATACACGAAAGCGTCAACTAAGACCACATGGAAGGCCTACACCAGCCTGTGTGACCCAAGGAATGTAAACAATAAAACCGAGATCTGAAGGAGAAGATGGTATCAGAGCTTAAATTATGAACACCCAAGTTTGCAGAAGGCTATGAATGACAGTGGATGCCCAAAATCCATTTGCAGGGTTCCCCACATGGATTAAGCCTCTGGTGAGTGAACCCCTTCAGTTTCTAGGCCAGGGATGTGACTAGCCTTTCTATCACAGAGAGTGAGTCGCAAAGTGAATTATTAAAGATGCTGTTAGGTTAAAATTTAACCCCTTATTCATTTGATCTCCCTTTGGACCCATTCTAATTTATTCTACTTTTTCATATTTTCCGCTTTTTCAACTGCTGTTTCTGTTTTACTTTGTTATTGTGTGCCATTTTCTTTTTTCTGTGGGGAGATGTGCTTCTGTATATGAAATCTAGCATAGGTAAGTCTATAGAGGCAGCAACTGGATTCTTGGGGGTGTGGCAGGGGCACCTGGGGGGAAATGAGGAGCTAATAACAATGAGTACAAGAAAGAAGAAAATGTTCTACAATTGACTGTGATGATGACTGTACAACTCTTCTTAAGATGAGTGCACTACTGAATTATTGATAAGTGAATTTTATGTCAGTAAAACTTGCTTGGCTCCATGGGAGAGCGCCGAGGTTTTCGACTTCTCTCAAGAAGAGGGCCTCACACACTCACGGGCAGTTCTACTCTGTCCTCTAGGGCTGACCCTGTGGCAATGGGCGGGTGCACTGCTTGTGACCCCTGCAGACAGGTTGGGCACGTGTGACCCTGGACCATGGGAGAGAGTAAGAAAGTCTGCTCAGGCCCAGGCTGCCTCCCGGGAGGCAGTTCTGTGTGGGCTCTGGCCTTGCCTTCCCAAGCTGCCCGTCAGCACGAGTCAGAACTGACTGATGGCAGCGAGTTTGGAACCCTACAGGCCAGAGACTATGAAAGACAGACTCACCTAGTGGGAGAGGGGTTTAAAGAGTCATCTGCAAAACTTCATCTTTGAAGAGATTTAAAGAACGCTCTTATTAAGAACAGAATGCCTATAAAACATTCTGAGAGTGATGGTGTATACACAACTCTTAAAAAGCCATTTAACTACGGAAGCGTATAATCTGCAAATACTATATTGAGAAAACTACGTAAAAGAAAAGGAAACCAAAGCTGACCAGTGGTGACCATGGGTGAAGGAGGAAGAGGGTTTGTTTCGGGGGCATTGAGTTTATGTGAACGGTGGTGGAATAACGTGGAAAGGATGTCAATACTAGTGGTACAACAAGAGTCTAATCAATGGCATTGAATTATACATGTAGAAATTGCTGAAGTAGAGAATGCTTGTCTATATATTTTTGCCAAAATTGAAAAAAAATTACACGAACAGTTATGAGTACAAGGAAGAAGAAAATGTTCTAGATTTGATTGTGGTGATGATCGTACAAATCTTGCTATGACTGAATTACTGAATTGTATGACATGTGGATGAAGTACCAATAAAAACTGCTAAAAAGGGGGACAAATAATAGAAATGTGGGTGAAGAGAGACAACGGACAGTGTAAGATATGAAATAACACTAATAATATATAATTGATCATGGATGAGAGGGCAGGGTAGGGGGACGGGAAAAGAGGAGATAATACTAAGGGCTCAAGTAGAAAGAAAATGTTTTGGAAATAATGATGGCAACATATGTACAAGTGTTAAAAAAAAGGAAAAAAAAATGTACAAGTGTGCTTACCACAACTGAATTATGGATTGTTATCAGAGCTGTAAGAGACCCCAATAAAATGATTAATGTTTTTTAAAGCCCTTTTAAAAAAAACATTCTGAGAATAAGAACACGTTCATGCAAATTAGAAACTTGAAACAGAAATCATAGGAAAACGATAATAAAATTGAGAAAAAAATTCTAGAAACTATCGCAAAAGGGCAGAGATGGAGAATAAGTGAAAAAGTTAAGAATTGTGGAGCATTTGCTCAGCAGACCCCCATCTCCTAATAAAATTTCTCTCATTCCTGAGAGAAATGAGAACATTACAGGGAACATCTATTTTGGGGCTCGGGGCAGAAAACTTCTCAGAACTAAGAGCGTCCAGATTGATATGGCCACTGAGTGCTGAGCACCAGATGTTTAACCCCGACCAAGGCATACAATTACGACGTTTCAGACTACTGGGGCCTCTAGGGCTGATTCTACAACGATTCAGAGAGGTGGAAGCACTGTCTCACACAACAGTTCAAAGATCAGAGTGACAAAAGACTATGAAACAAAAATCCTAAGAGTCAACCTATAATTCAATTTTTAGCCAAACTATCACACAGATGAAAAAATGCAGAATGTGGAATTCTCTGGCATGCAAGGTCTTTAAAACAAATTTTTTCTCTGAAGCATTCTTTCTCAGGAAGCTACTGAAGGATGTGTTTCCCCAAAGAAAACAAGCAGACGAAAAGGAGATGCGGGAATTTGTGCATCTAAACAGTTAAAGTGAACCCCTAGGAAAATGGCGACAGGAAATTTCGAGGTGACAATGTGTTGATGAGAAGCCAAGAACACAACTAGATCGGAGAAGAGTCCACCTCAGAAAGTTAAAAGTTGATACACTACTGAGCATGGCTGAAGGAACTGAAAGATGTGTATAATCGCTCCTTTGATATCTGATCTTGGCCTAGAGTGGTGACTGATCGCTGGAAGACTTGCTGACTTGACTTGCTCAGAGATCATTAAAAGAATCTGAAGGCACCTTTGGACCAAAATTGCTGCTTCAAAAAGGAAAAAAAATCAGTTGTGTCTAGATAGGAGCTACATTATTAAGAAAGTTGTTGAAATAACAAAATGTGTTACCCACCTTTATTATGGTTAACTCTGCAGAATTTCTGGGTGCCACCCAGAATAATTTGTAATCTTCACATGCTAGGTATTCTTGTTTAATGCAATAATCCTCATTTCCTGTGGAGAAGATTGGATCAATTCCATTAAAAAATCATTGTGAACATGTGACACCTCTAGTCGTTACCTCCTGGTGTAAAGGCTAGAGGTACTGATATATTTGCCTGTTAGTAACATCTACAATACTTCACAAAATCATTTGCTAAAAACAGAAAGAGTGGAACGCATAATCTTCAGTTACCGAGACACGGAATTCACTAATGTGTCAGTGTCGATACAGGTTGTATCTGACGCACAACACACTCAAACTGTCGTGAGCCATGCTGGTGCCTAGTTTTAGTTCCGGCCTGTCACTAAGAGCAGTACTAGATATGAAGCTGGAGTATATCATCTGAAGTATTATCATTCTCAGCTATGCCCTCTACAAATGTTCCATTTTGTGACTGCTCCAACACCGTGTAGATTGAGTTTTCTTTTTTTCTTTTTAAATCATTTTATTAGGGGCTTGCACAACTCTTACCACAATGCATACATACAAGCACATTTGTACATGTGTTGCCATCACCATTTTCAAAACATATGCTTTCTACTTAAGCCCTTGGTATCAGCTCATTTTCCCCCTCCCTCCCCGCTCCCTCGAGTTTTCTACACTAATCAGTTGCATCCGTTGCCAAAGTCAATAGGCAGATACAGGAAGTGGTACTGCGCTTCCATCGAACATATGGAGAAACAAAGCAAAAAACCACACAGACAACTCTAATTTTCTAACTAGAAATGCCATCCTCATCCCTAGGAATTTTCCAGAACCTCCCAAAAGAGAAGTTAGTACTGCAATAGACAAAATGCTAACATCATCCAATTCTTCATCATCATCAGAGTCAATTTTTATGATCTCTGTATATTTTGCTTTTAAAATTTAATATGTTTGTATCAAAACCAACACTCATCTGCCGATTGGTTGTCCTTTGGTGGTTTGCTTGTTGCTATGATGCCGGAAGCGATACTACCGGCATTCCATCCACAGTGAGCAGGTTTGAGCCAAGCTCCCAGGCTAAGAGAATGGAAAGAAGGACGTGGCTATCTACTCCTGACAAGAGTGGCTGGTGGCAGCCTCACGGTTAGCCAGGAACACCATCTGCACGATGCCGATAAAAAAGGCACTGGCAAGACTGGGGCAGAATCATTCTTACCGTCACGGATGGAGTAAAGCTTTCAGAAACTCCACATGTGGGTGGGTCATGATTACTCAATACGAAAAGAAACAGTTGCAAACATCCTTTAATAATCAGAACACAAAAGGTATGAATCAAGGCCAATTAGAGGCTGTCAAAAGTGAAAGGGAGAGCTTGAAGACCGATATCCGAGGGTTTTAGTGAGCGGAAATGGACTGGTAGGGGCCCATTTGAATTGGATTATCACATGGTCTGTCATGCCTGAAATGACAACTTGAAAGCCGTAACTGAGCACTAAGCATCAAAACAAACAGCTCAAGATCCATCTAAAATCACAATGCTGTGTCTGTATGCCTGTAAAGAAGACTGTATGACCACTCTTCAAACACACCAACCACTAATGTAAAAGATTAAGAAATTAAGAATATTTCAACCAACTTCTACAATCTAAACTAATCAAACTTTCAGTCAAGATGCATTGAGTTACTAGTGATGGAAACAAGAAGGACCAGCAGTCGGAAACTACGACCCTGGTGATACAAATACGGGAGATGGCATGATAGAATTGTGAACTGCCAACAACTGACTGATTGTAAACTATCTCTTGTGAACAACCTAAGCGGGGACTATCCATGTACATTGGAGTCACATTGGGCACATCTGTGAGACGATGCAGAAGCTCAATAAAAGCCAAGGGCCGATTACTGCACAGATTCAAGTTCAAGCTGGAGATGGATTAAAACAAGTTCATCAGAGTCAAAGTATATCCTTAGAGAATATCCCGCTTGCATTTCGAGTCCGCCTCAAGAACAGATTTGACACACTAAACACAAATAAGCGAGGATGAGCGGAGCCGGGCGATGGCATCTAAGACATCACACCTAAAGAAAGCAGGAGGGTGCTAAAAGGAGGGAAGAGAAAAGAAAGGATGCCAAAGAGATGCTATAACTTAAGTGGATGAGAGAAATCATTCACGTAAGAGCTGAACTACAGAACTCAAAGGGCCGCTAAGCGAGGAGGTAGCTAACTAAGCACACATGGAAGAAGCACACCGGCTGGTGGAGGCGAAGACGACCCAACAAAGTTCAAGTACGAAGGGAAAGGCATCAGAGCTAAAATTGTGAACACCCAATTTGAGAAGGCTGAGGAAGACAGTGGGAGCCCAAAACCCACCTGCAAAGAATCTAGTCATATTAAGGCCCTGGCAGATCCCCTCTAGCCACAGGGTAGAATAGCCTTCCTATCAAACACAGGATCACTGTAATCCTGATTAGGTTGGATCAAACTTTATATACTCTGCCAGTTGTCCTCCCTCTAGACCCAACCTGAATTTGTTCTAGGTGCAAGGATCTCTTACTTGTTGCATGACAAAAATTCCTTTTCTGGATTTTAAAATATTGATGGAGGTCTTTTCTTTCTTGCTTATTGTTGGTAGTTTATCTCTATATTGCTATTTTTTATCCTTACCAGCTCATTTCATTTCTGTTCTTTCTTGTTTGTTTGGTTCATCAGTCTGTGAAGCACAGAAGGAGTGGATGCACAGAGACAAAAGCTGATGCAGAATTTGTAGGGATGGAGGGAGATGGGGAGGCTCAGGGGATTTCAGGAGTAAACAATAAATGTGGGAGGGGGGCGGAGTACTTGAACAGAATGTGATTACACAACTCATTTTAAAGGCGATTTAATCACGGGGGCAGGGTGTGTGAAAAAGAAGAAAATGCTCTGAACTTGACTGGTATAATGATTGTAAAATACTTCTTGACATGATTAAACCATTGAATTGTATAATGTGGACTATGTGCCAATAAAACTGGGAGGAAAATAGAATCCAAAGGAGAGTGTGAGAAGGCAAAGGAAAGCAGGATTAAGGAGATATACAGAGAAAAACAAAAGGGAAGGACATGCTATGCATTTTCTAAGCTGAAAGAAACAAACAAAAAAATTTAAACCTTAAGCTGCCATAAAATTCTACAAAAACATTGAATGCAGCAGGAAGAATCAAAAGAAGATGGAAAGAATACAGTCAATGTACCAGAAGAAATGTGCCAATGTTTGACCATTTCGGGAGGTAGCATATGATCAACAAACTAAAGGACAAAGTTCAGGTTGCACTGAAGACACTGGTGGAAAGCATGGCCTCAAAACTGATGAACTACCAATGAAATGTTACGACAATGGGATACAACACTGAAAGTCCCCGCTCGTCCATGCCAAGAAATTTGGAAGACCAACCAAGGGGCAGAGACCAATATTTGTACCTTTTTCAAAGAAAGGTGGCTCTACAGAATGCAGACATTATTGAAGACTACCATTAGTACTGCATAAAAGTAAAATTATGCTGAAGATATTTCAAACAGGTTCTAGCAGTAACAGGGAATGTGTAGAAGAAAGTTAAACAATGATGCTGATGTCAGACGGATCTTGGCAGAAAGAAGAAGAAAAGAAAGAAAGAAAAGACGGTGTTATTTATCTGTGTTTTATTAACTATGAAAGGCGTTCAACTGTATGGACCATAGCAAATTACGTATAACATAGCAAAGAATGGGAATTTCGGAACACTTGACCGTGTTCATGTAGAACTCGTACATAAACCAAAAGGCAGTTCTTCAAACAGACCAAGAGGACACTGAAGGGGCTGAAGTCAGACAAGGTGTGCATCAGGGTTGTATCCTTTCAGCACACGTACGCAAACGAGCAAATAATCTGAGGAACTGGCCGATAGGAAGAATGAGGCATCAGGGTGGAAGGAAGACAAGTCGCAATATGCACACAACACAACTTTGCTTGCTGAAAGCAACGAGCACCTGGTGCATAAGATGAAAGACTGCAGCTTTTAGTATGGATTACATGTTAACATAAAGAGCACAAAGTTCCTCACTGAGCAACATGGTGATAAATGGGGAAAAGACTGACGCTATCAAGATGTCACCTTACTGGATCACAATCTATATACTGGACCCACAGCAGTCAAGAAAACAAACTGACTATATTGGGGAAATCTACGCAAGGGAAATCTTTAAAATATTAAAAATAAAAACTACACTTGAGGACTAAGGTACACCCGACCCAAGCTATGGTATTTTTAATGGCCTCCTATGCACGTAAAAGCTGTAGAATGAAGAACTGATGTTGGTGAAGCATACTGAAGACCACACACCAGAAAAACAGACAAAACTGTCTTGGAAGAAGTACAGCAAGAATGCTCTTTTTAAGCAAGATTGGCAGGACTGCCCTGCAGATTCCGAACATGCTATCAGAGACGTTGTGCTTGGTGAAGGAGAGGGCCACTGAAGACGAGGAAACCCTTCGGTGAGTGGACGGACACAGTGGCCGTGACAACGTGCTCACACAGAGCCATTACCCGTGGGAACCAACTCAATGCACGGAGGAGTCCGCTCCAGCCCATTGCGACCCTACAGGTTCCCAAGACTGTTAATCTTGATGGAAGCAGACAACTACTTCTTCCTGCATAGCAGTTTAAACCTCGCAGTTAGCTGCCCAACACTTAACCCACAACACCATCACGGCTCCTAAAAATGACAATATATTAAAAGACACCTGTAGGTTTCAATGTAATGTGTCTAACCCCCAAAGACTGACTGACTTTTGTTTTCTTCAATGATTGACTTTTGAAAGATACAGATAAAAGGCAATAATAGTGGGGGGCAGAGGGAAGAGAAACAGGGTGTTCAACTTTCGTGAGAAGGGAACCCTGCCCTAAGTCAGAGACCTCCTGTAATGCTGTTTCTTATGATCTATGAATAGTTACAGTGCTCAAACATCTAATCATCATTAAACACAAAAGAACATACATTCAATGATACTTTACCTAATTCAATTTCCTTATCTATTTCTAACGTAGGCAGTGGTCTGTCTTCTATGAAAAATTCTGCAGAAGCACTTAACTCCGGGAGGGAGTTTAGTAGTTGTTTGCGATGCTGTGAACACCAAGAGGCCTGAGTAAGGGTTTCTGGAAGAGGGGGGAAAAAAGCCTTAAGTAAACATTATCCAAAAAAACTTAATGCTTAAAGTGAATTTCATAATTGTTCCTTTCTTTAACTTTTTATTATGAACTGGATGATTTATAGATTGTATAAATTTTCTATCCAGAAATTCATAAACATTGTGTTTCCCTGTTGTGTCCTGTCCAGTGAGCCTATATAGGGTTTCCAACAGTGTAAATCTTTACGGAGCAAACAACTGCTGACCTTTCACTTAGCAGCCGAGTGCTTAACCTCTGAGCCACCAAGGCTTCTGGATATTGTAGGAGGGCAGAAAACTAGATTATACAATTGATACTGTTAGTCTAACAATGTCATCTTTGTGATTCTACAGTCAGTAGTAGTAATTTACTCTAGGATTTCACAATTTAAGGCAATTTCTACAGAAAACAAACAAGCAAAAAAGAAACAGTTCGGTGTGCAAGATAACTAAATGTTTGGCGGCAAGGAAGCAGGTGTTTGCTCTCAGGTGTATCCCAGCTTACCCGCAGTCTCAGTAAGCTCCAGTTTCTCAGGTATCTGAAGGCCTTTGATGGAAGAGGTGCTTGTAACGGAGGCAGAAGATCCAGAAAACCCCGAAGAGTGCGTGACTTCGTGACTGTCTTCAACAATGGGGCTGGAAGAACCACGGGGACAATATACACGTACTTACGCTTGTCACAGTCTGTGTGACAGTCTCACTGCCTCCGAGCCGATCGCCAGGCCTGTCTTCGGAGACCCTCTGGTGGGTCCAAACCACCAACCTTTCAGCTAGTTAAGGCATCACCCAGGGACTCTCTCAAGTCTATTATTTTCCCCAAACAGAATGAGGTTCATAATCAGAACTGAGGTAATTTCATCTATCTTGGTTGGTAAGCAATGCCTACAATTAAGTATCTGAGAGTTTGTGTTTTACTGAAATAGTCCTAAGTGTTTATTCTACTTCAATTCTGTTTTTCAGCCAGTTGCCATGAGTGGATTCTGACTTGTGCGTGTGTCCGAGCAGAACCACTTGCTCCCTAGGGTTACAATGACTACTTGTTTGGGGGTAGGCCAACAATCCCTTCTCCCCTACATCTATTCTCAGCAGCTGAAAAACACTGATAAACACTGATAACTTTCTTCTCTTTTTACTATTGAAAAAGCTGAGAAAGGCAAAGCAAACTACATTATCACCGAAGATGAACTTAAGCTAGCAAATATGATAAAAAGTTAAGAGCAGAGCTTGAAAAAGCAGTTTTAAAACCTCAAAGGAAAATCACAAGTAAAGAATTTGACTTTGGCTAAATGAACTGACTTTTAAATATGGCTAAATCACATGGCTTAGTAGTCCCTTGCTCTACCATTCATTCCCTACTACTTATTCTCTAATTCATTTTCACTTCTTCTACCTCTATCAGAAGGCACCTTTTCCTTATTACATCCCTAGCCTTCTATTACAAATTAATATCAAGCTAGCCTGCTATTACCTTAAATTGATGATTAAAGAAGAGTTAGACTCATCCTCTCTCCCAGCCATGCATACTATTGTAACATTTCCTTCATGGTGTCAAAATCCTCCTGGGCCTCTTCACCTCACAGCCACCAACATTTACCTCTTTCTAATTCTCACAGTCCAATCAATTCCTAAACCCACTGACAAGTGTCTCTGGGGCTGCATGGCCGTCTTGCATAGCACTAACATAGCACCTGGCAGGTGAAGCGTGGTCAGTAACTGGCAAAGAAACCCACACAGACTAAGGGAGTGTGGTGCATCCTGTAAGGCCCTGCTCACCTCAGCTTCTTGACACTGAGAGTCTGGTTGTAGAGAGGGCCACAGGAAGTCTGCGGGTCCTCGGAGGTCTTCACACCTGCAGCCTCTTCCTGCACGAGTCTCTCAGGACCAGAAGGGAGATTCTTCAGGGATATTATCTCATGAAAAGGAGTAGATACAAAACGGGCTGCCCGAGCAAAGTCACAAGTGTCGTCTGGGTTGGGGCAAATAGTTACATTTCTGAAACCAGTGATGATGGCATCCTCACTCAGGGGCTCGATTCCAGTAAGTTCATCCTGAATTACATAAAAGAACATGTAAAGTTTAGCTGAAGTGCTTCAATGAGCCTAGACAGTGATTTTCTACACAGGGTACAGGAGTACCACACCCAAATCTCTAAGGAAGACAATTCCTAAAACACCTTGTAACATTTGAGGGAAAGGGTGTATTGTGAAAAAGCAAATTGTTATTTCATTTAAAAATACACTATGAGGATTCACCACCCAAGAGCACATAACAGACAATAATTTGCTGCTTTTTCTTCTGGCTTTGGCCTAGAAAATATTCTGAAAATCTGCTATCCTCCTAGATTTTAAGTCTCCCTCCTCTGTGCCATATATGTTATTTCTCAGAAGGAATTCATGATCACGATACATAAAAAATATATAAACTGGACAAAGAAATCATCTGAAATACCTGATCGAACCCTTTTGGTATGCATTTAAAACAAGTCATTGTCTTTAAAAGCATTCATGTGCACGGTTTTAGGGAGTCAACAGTTCTCAGTAAGGCTGCGGAGAAACTGGAATGCAGTCTTTTTAACCTAGATAGTATCATGCCACTAGTCACAGTGGTTAAAACAAAATGCTACTGAAGGAGAGTCGCTTTCCCATTGCCACCAAAGGCATTTTATACGAAAAAGCAGATCTTTGTTTCAGAAAAAAGGGAAAAAACGTGCTGCAGGCTTTTAAGCCAATGATTTCCCCCTTGCTTGAAAAAACCTGAGACATAATTCCCATAACATAAAATTTGCCCTTTGAAATGTACAGTTCAGCGGCTCTTAGTACATCCTCAAGGTTGGGCAGCCAGCTTCACTGTCATTTTAGAAATTCCCATCAACTCACAGAACTCTATCTATTTGCAATCACTTCCCAATCGCTGGCAATCTGTAGTTTACTTTCTCTATCCTGGACAGTTTATAGAAATGGAATCACACAATATCTGGCCTTAAAGTCTGGCTGAGTTCATGTAACGTATTTTGAAGGTTCATCCATTTTGTAGCATGGTTTCACCCTTCATTCCTTTGAATGGCAGGACTTTATTCCACGGTATGCAGACACTAAGTTTGCATATCCACTCACTAGTTGATGTTAATATGTACACGATTGCTATGAACACGCATGTACAAGTTTTTGGTGACAAAATGTTTGCAGTTCTCTTGGGTATACGAGAAGGGAAACGTCTGCATCGTACGGTAAATCCATGGTTCACTTTCTGTGGAATGCCAAACGGACCAAAGCAGCCGTGCCATTCTGTACTTCCACCAGCAAAGTAAGAGGGTTAATTTCTCCACATCCACCCTCCCCATCACGTGTCCTGTCCATCTTTTAATGACAGCCATCCGAGTGGCTGGGAAGTAGTGTGCCCAGTTTTGATTTGCACATCACCATGACCAGTGGTGTTGCGCACCCTTTCAGGTCGTATTTCAGGCTGATGACTTAAGTCTAACCTTTAACTTTTGTGAGAACTGCGTTCAAGACCCTCCTACCCCTTATGTTAGTTAGGGAGAGCCGCTCTTACACAGGCTTCATCTGAGGGCATGCTTTCCGAGGCTTTGAGAATTCCAAGGGGTCTTCGTTGGGCTAAAGCCCCCGACGGATCTGTAGGAAGACTGGAAGAAGACATATTCCACTTAGTACTTTTCTGTTGACAGAGCTAACAACGGAAATCCTGCTAGGTTTAAAAAACAAACAAATCAAACCTGAAATTCTTTTCTTCTGAAGAAAGAAATTCATCAAATATGGTAAATGGTATACTGGGACCTATAGAAAAAGGTATTAAATTAATACTTGTAAGAGTAACTGTTCATTTTGTTCGTGCACCCGCGGCGTGCGTGAAGAGTGAATGTTCGCCTCCTGAAGGGAGCTCGACACCAAACAAACCACCATGGGGTCAATTCAGACTCACAGGGACTCCACGACAGCAGAGCTGGCCTTTGGTTTTGATGCTTCGTGTTTTACTCTGCTTATGATCGTTACATTCGTGTGCGTGTGCATGTAAACAGGAGCAGAACGCTTCCTCATTCTCCCTCAGAGCAGCTGGCGGGTTCAAACTGCTGACCGTGTGGCTAGCAGTACTAGATAAATTAGTCTTTTGTCTTGTATGTCTGACTGAAAGTACAAAAAACAATCTGGTGCTTTGTGGGTTTGTTTGCTTAAAAAAGGAAAATTTCAAACATACAAAAGTAGAGACTGCTGAAAACTTTCACAAGGACTCACACATGGATCTTGTTTCATCTCGACCCTACCTCGCCACCACTGCCATCCCCTCAGACCCGCCCCCCTGGGTGATTCTGATTGAGCACACCCAAGACATCCTATCGCTTTATCTAGAAATCTTCCAGTATCTTATTTCTAAAAGAGACTCATTTTTTAAATCTCACAGTATCTGATCATGCCTACAAAGTCATTTGTATATTAAGTATCTAACCAGAAAGTTACACATTTTACCACTTCTTATAAAAAAATAATTTAAAAGTTTTGTTTGACTTACAGATACGGAAGAAGATTTATATATCGTGATTGGTTAGAATGTTCTTTTTAAAAAAAATCATTTTATTGGGGGTTCTTAAAGCTCTTATAACATTCCATACATCAATTGTATCAAGCATATTTGTACATAAAATCCTTCTTAAAGTTCTATTTTTTCCAGTTTCTCATCCACCTTTCTTATTTCAAAGTAAGTTTTTGTTGAAGAAACTGGGCTGTCCGTCCTCCAAGGCTGAATTGTGCGCCCCACCCCCACCTCTCTTGTTTAACATCTTCCTCCATGCTTTGCATTTCCGATAAATTGATTGGAAGTTTGTCAGATTTGGACTTAATTCCATAATCCCGCCCCCGTACACACCGACTGTTTATGGGGGGACACTCATGTTTTGTCCCTTTTAACATGTTTCTGATTAGAAAAGAGAACCAAGCTGAAAATAAAATAACTTAGCTCTCAACTTAAAGTTAAACAAAAAGTCATTTAAAAAACCCACTTTCCTCCCAGTGTTGGCCACTGGGACTACTGACTATGCTTAGCTCAGTGCACAGCAGTCCAGCTGCAAGGTTATCCAGAAGAGGGGCTGAAGTAGTAGAAGATTATGACACGGAGCTCATGAAGTGTATATTAGCTAATGTAAAAGTCAAACTGCATTATTTCAAAGCCCTAAAGAATTTTAAATACTTAAACAATGAGGAACTGAAAATACCTTTCAAATATGCCTAAACCAATCTCAGATCACACGGTTATACTCAATTCCATGGGTCAGATAAAATGCCTTAGTCTCTCTGCCTTCCTCTAACTCCTTTCCCATAATTAACAAAAGTATCTGTCATTTATTAAAGATGCGTTTGTTACATGGCATGCATTTCCACGTTACTAGCAAGATGTTCACGAGATTTCAAAACACAACTCACCTTTAGAGTCAGGCTGTTCCTGATCAATGGTTTTTGCAAGTGAAGTTTCCCTAGACAGAAACACGTTGAAAAATCTGCTCAGAAACTACATTAAGATCTGTTTAAAGTTCTTAAACGCTTCCTCCCGCCAACTACCAGGACCCCAATTTTGCCTTGCAGACCTGGTTGCACAGCGGTACAGATGGGAATTGGAAACGCAGGGAATCTAGGACAGATGAACCTCTCAGGACCAGGGGTGACAGTGGCAATACCAGGAGGGAAAGGGGGTGTAGAAAGGGGGAATTGATCACAGGGAGCTACATATAACCTCCTCTCTGGGGGACGGGCAGCAGAGGGGTGGGTGAAGGGAGACGCCGGGCAGTGTAATATAAGATACAATAATAATTTATAAATTATCAAGGGTACATGGGGGAGAGGGGAGGAGGAAGGGAGGGGGAGGGGAAAAAAGGAAAATGAGCTGATTCCGGGAACCCAAGAGGAAAGCAAATTTTGGGACTAATAAGGGCAACAAATGTATAGAGGTGCTTTACACAATTGATCTATGTATTGTGATGAATTGTATGAGCCCCGATAAATTGATTAAAAAAAAAAAAAAAGAACTGTTTAAGTCCAAGAGTTTTTCATTAAATATAATCTGCACTCAGGACAAAGAAATTACTATAGTTTCTTTAAGATGAAACCAGTAAGCATTAAAACTTATAGAAATATTGCTGGTAATAATGCAAAGTAGGCATTTTTAGAAAACATGAAATAAAAATGGAACACAAAAGGAGAGCTATACCTATGTTAACAGTCATTTCTTGGCAAAAGAAATGAGTGATTTTATTTTTAAAGTATTTGTTTTTGATCATTTCTATTAAAAACATGTATTCTTTTTAATGGGAAGTTCTCCCTCCTCAGCAAAGCTTATGTTAGACAGAGACTTACAAAAAGCCTTCAAACCCCTTGAGAGTCAAAGGTTGGTTCTACATGCCCTTATGTAGCAGTGTCCCTTCCACCAATGTGCTCCTCCTACCTTGTGCAAGAGTTCACTGGACAAAGAGAATGGAATAGTGCCATTCCTGGGACTTCCCGAGATGCAGAGGCAGCTCCACGCTCAGCCGTCTCCTTTGTAGGCAACCTCTCTTCTTGCTGTTTGCAGTAAAGTAAGAAAAACCAGTGTGCCTCTCCCACTCAGAAAAACCCTACCTTTCAAACTCTCTACCATATCACCCCCCTTAAATACCCACGAACCACATGAACGGTCAGTAGCACAAAAATTCCTAGTAATTTATGTTTCTAGTGTAAACTGGCAACGTTAAACTCAATCAGCAATGTCAAAGACTAACAGAATTTTTTAAGCCCAATTTTAACAGAAAGTAATTAGATTTAAGCAGCTAAATAGTAACAATTATTTTAAGTATAACTAAGAAGTCAGTAAATTGCATCACTTATATCACGTGCCACAAATTCCGTACCTGTTAAATTACTGTCCTGCCCTACTTTGCAGCTACTAATACCTAAGAACCCGAGAAGCTGTGCATGTGAGTTTGGGGGATTCATCCTGCCGATACCTCTGTAGAGTTAACTTTGTTTCAACCAGTGTTCATTTTATGGATTACAAGCAGGAAATTACCTGGCCATCCACTCTTTCTTGCTGAGTAGTTTGGATTTCCTTTAGCTTTTTCTCCATCTCCTCAATCTGTTTCTGCATTTCTGCTCTCTTCTTTGCATTGGTTAGTAACTCCGCTAGAAACAATCAAATTAGCTGAGACATTACTCCTCACAGCAACTTAATCTATCGAAAACCATCTTTGGGGCTCAGGTCCTCAATATATGTTAACATTACCCAAAAATGCAAAGCCGTTTGACATTAATCAATTCCAACTCGTAGCGACATTATATGCAGTGTGCAGAGCTATAGATCTTTGCAGGAGCAGACAGTTTGACCTTTCTCTGGGGGAGCAGCTGGTGGGTTCGAGCCACCGGGGCTCCTGATGCCAACATCAGAGATAACAATTACAGAAGTAAAACCATGACCGCAACTTGAGGTCTAGTGTTTTAAAAATTTTATTTGGTCAATTAAAAAGAGAAAGCCAGCCACAGAATATGTCCTGTGTGCAACTGTCTTTGACACCAGTAATCAATGGCAACAAGAATTCACTTTATTATAGGCATGAGGGTTTAGATGAATACAAAACATAAAACCAACTGTATTATAGGCATGAAGGTTTAGACAAAAACAATACATGAAACCAAAAAACCAAACCAAAGTCACTGCCGAGTCGATGCCGGTTCTTAGCAACCCTACAGGGCAGGGCAGGGCAGGGCAGGGCTGCCCCAGAGGGTTCTGAGACGTCCCTCTTTCTGGTAGTAGAAAGCCCGTCTTTCTCCTGACAAAATACATCTAGATGGAAAACTATAGGTCACGATCTGGATTCAGAAACCAGATTAGGAAATGAGTCTTAAGTAACCCTCATAAAGCAATATTTCTTTAACCTGTTCAAATCCAAAATAACCCCCAAATAGGTTCTTCTTTGACAATAAAATGCATTTTCATTCTGCTTCTATCTGCCTGGTGTTACGGTAAGTTTCTTTCTCCCTCAAAGAAACAGTACTTTTTAGTTAAGCATCCAGTTCCCTTTCCAGCTTATACTTGGCTACATTCCTATACTTTTTAAAAATAAAACATTTTAAAATGAAGTACCTGGACAGTTTGTTGGCACCCTTCCCAGTTCTGAAGAGCCTTCCCCAACGAGCACCTTCCTTCCGCCCGTTCCATCTCCCCGACATACAAGTTTCAGTCCTCAATCTACAAGGCAGCTAAGCCTAGAGTGTTTTTGTCACTCTTGCAAGGTTACCATTCTACCAGTTGATGTAACAAATGAAGGCAATCCTCATCTAACTAACCACTTGCTGTGCAGAAACATGCTTCTAACCCGGCACCGGGGTTCAGAAATGATTTTTCCTCAGAAGTAAATTGTAAGTGATAATTAAGTTTTCTAGCTAGCTCTACAAATGCCTCTTTCTCTTAAGAGAATTGAGCTACAATAATAAATTTTTCTATATATTCATGTAAAAAGAAACCTTTCTTTTCCACCAGGTACAAATCCTGGTGAAAACATCTAGATGAAATTCATTTCTGAACTCTTCCTTTGGCGCAATAGCTCTTTCTCATCATGGTCCTCTAACTCCCACCAAATGCTGAACAGACCTGTGCAAATGAGGTGCTTGGCCCCCGCCCCAGGGGATTGGAGAGCTTGCTAATAATGCAAACAAGGTACATGAAACCTTGGGTTGAGAAGTGTAGAAACTTGCATATTTAAGATGTGTCGAACCCTAATGAAGGACTGGTCAGTTTTGTCATCCCTCTAGTGTAAGATAAGTCACCCCAGAGGCAGAGAGGGGCATCTAACTACCTCCCAGAACAAGAGCTAAGAATGAGTGCATTACTTGGACATGATCACCATGCGGAAAGAGAGAGAGAGAGAGAGCGCTGTAATCCTGACGGTGTGAGACAGCAAGACACAGCGGAAGAAAAATGGCACCAGCAGGGGCAGCAAACCAGGAGATTGGCAGGAGATGGCACGGCTGACTTTTTGGTCCAGAGTGAGAAAGCTGATGCCTTCGGTCCCAGGTTTACTGGAGGAGTGGGGTGCTACTGGAGAAGTGGGGTGCTACTGGTGGAGCTGAAGAACTTTTCAACACTCAACTGAGTAGGGCAAAGGCTGGACCAGCCCAAGAGGTTCAAGGGTGAGAGGGTAAAGGCCAAGGAGAGGCCTGTGTGGGCACAGCCCAGAAGCTGCCCTGACTGTATCCTGATTATTCTTGATCCTGCATTTTAACCTGTTACTTTCCTGATAAGCCACGTCATCATAAGAATTGTCTGAGTTGTCCCAATTGCAGAAGACAAAATGGGTGCATAATCAAATGGGGTAAAGAAAGCTGATGGTCTAGCAAAAGATCTAGCGTCTGGGGTCTTAAATGCTTGAAGTTAAATAAGTGGCCATCTAGCAGAGAAGCAACAAAGTCCACATGGAAGAAGCACACTAGCCTGTGTGATCATTAGGTATTGACAGAAATAGGTATCAGAAGTTCAAAAACAAGCAATCAAATTGACATCAAGGAGCATAGACAAAGTGGAGACCCAAAGACCACCTGTACAGTAAGTAATTGGACAGTCCCTCACAGAAGGGTAACAGAAGGGCCAATGTATCCAGGGTACAGTATAGCACTGATGAAACACGTAACTACTCTAGTTCTTTAATATTTCCTCCCCCCAAAAAATACAGTGTCTGGGGCCTTAACGGCTTGAAGCTAAATAAGTAGCCACCTAGCAGAGAAGCAAAAAAGCCCACATGGAAGAAGCACACCAGCCTCTGTGATCACAAGGTGTTGACAGGATCAGGTACCAGGCATCAAAGAACAAAAAATCACTATCATTGTGAATGAGGGGGAGTGCAGAATGGAGAACCAAAGCCCATCCGTAGGCATCTGGACATCCCCATATGGAAGGGTCTTGGGGAGGAGATGAGCCAGTCAGGATGCAGTATAGCACTGATGAAACATACAACTTTCCTCTAGTTCTTTAATGCTCCACCCATGCCTCCACTATCGTGATCTCAATTCTACATTACAAATCCAGCTAGACCAGAGCATGTACACTGGTACAGATAAGAGCTGGAAACACAGGGAATTCAGGACAGATAAACCCCTCAGGACCAATAATGAGAGTAGCGATAACAGGAGGGGAAGGGGAAGGTGGGGGGAGAAAGGAGGAACGGATCACAATGATCTACATATAACCCCCTCTTTGTGGGATGGACAACAGAAAAGTGGGTGAAGGGAGACATCGGACAGTGTAAGACATGAAAAAATAATAACCATTTATAAACTATCAAGGGTTCATGTGGGAGGAAGGGTGTGGGGAGGGAGGGGAAAACTGAAGAAAACTGATACAAAGGGCTCAAGTAGAAAGAAAATATTTGAGAATGATGATGGCAACAAATGGACAAATGTGCTAGACACAATGGATGGATGTATGGATTGTGTAATATCTATATATTTCTTCCCCCTGATATTATGGTCTTAGTTTTACCTCATTAATCCTGTTATACCAGCGTATGTTTATGTATATAAGTAAGATCGTTCGATGCATGAAATCCAAGATAGATAAATTCTTTAAGAATTGTAATGGGGCCGGGAAGATGGCGACGGAGTGATACATACCAGAGGGACTCCGCAGAATCCAGCCCAGGAGAGTTGCTTAGAGGGAACTTTAACACAACTAGAACACAGGAGGAGCATCATAAAGATAAGTAG